CCCCTCTATTGGGCGAAAAAAGGAACAGACGGATCGGCGCTTAACGAACTGTCCTTGCATCTTTTTCAGTGACAATGTAAAATCCCCTTGGATATGTCTTATGAGCAGGTTTGTGAGTGAAATTTTTAGGTTTGTTTTGCGCGTCATTGAAAATTATATTTTGGAGTGCGTGACTAGTCCTCTTTTGAATTTGGCACCTATAAGGCCTTTTTTCATGATATGTAAGGAGAACCCGATTACTCAGGGAGAATTAGGTACGGCTTCAGATGCTACGGGTTTAGGTTACGTTCCGGTTTCTGGCTCCCTCCTCAGGCTTGAGGTTTCAATGATACGGCCTGATGCTTTGGTTAGAACATTAGCGCCTTCCGTAAAAAGGATTTTGGTATATTATTATATGACATGGGCTAAAGGGAAAAGATAAGTAAGAGGCATGCATATCTAAATGCGGGTAAATGTACATATTCATGTATCATTATATGAATGAAAGGAAATTTATCTATTTCTCAGAGGAGGGGAAAATTTGCAAATTTATAAGGAAGTAAAAAATATGTGTATAGTGGTTATAGAAAAGAAGGACACCAAAACAGAAGAATCCGACAAATCACGTACGGTGCGGACCCCCAAGTCCACCACTTACTACTGATCATAATGCTAATGATTATGATAGTCTAATGGAAGAATAATGAGTTCCTTTCTCGTGACCCAGAGAACAGGGACGTATGTGTAAATATACACATACATACTACGACTCAGATTGAACACTGAGGGAGAGATAAATTTCCATTTTGCAATGCTTTCAGAGTACAATAACAAGGGAGTGAACAATTTCTTCCCTCTATCTTAATTATCTATAGAAAATCCTCTACTTACTATGTCAGTTCCATGTGAGAAACTTCTTTATTCAGTTGACAGCAGTTTCATTAACTGCTGCCTTATTTCCTATATTTGTGTGACCACTGCTCAATCTCATTAAGAATGGGATAGATATTGAGAAGGCGATTCTTATAAAACCGCACGTGAATGTGCATTCGCTTGAATATTGGAATTCATCCTTCCTGAACTGTAGCTTTTTCTCGGGGTAACGCATTTTTTTACCTCGTGTATATCAGGGTACTGTAGAAGCAGATGCAAGAATGTTCGTTTCTCATGAAGGATGCGAAGAAGCCCCATCTGGTGGCGTGGGCCCTTATCTTACTACCTAACTGTGTTAATGTATATTTGCCACCCTAGGAAAAGTATAAAACAACCGAAGGCAAATTCAGCAATCAGAGAGATGATCAGTTCAGTTATCAGAATAAGCGAGACACTGTAAAAAGATTTCAGAGGGGCTTAAATTAAAGGAAGCATATTCTATTTGGACGCCTCGATTCATGGGAATCAATTGCGGGAGTATTAAGAATAGGATTTTGTAGCAGTGTAATTCCAATAGTATCATCCCGAAGCAGAATAGAAGGACCCCTCTTTGAAGTAGCACTATTGTATAAAGTATATGTCTACAATGATTTTAAGGATGTCCCCTGACGTTATAAAGAAGTGGCATGTCCTTTATTTTTCGCTCACTGGTGGTAATTAATTCGTCTCATGCTCCATTTTAGGATGATATGGATTTTTTTTTTGTTGCTTTTTCTTTCTTAATTTTTCTCTCTTCCCATTTCTTCTCTTGTTTTCTATTTTTTTTTTTCCATTTTTTTTTTTTCCATTTTTCTTTTTTTCCATTTTTTTTTTTTCCTTTTTTTCTCTTTTACATTTTTACTTTTTTTTTTTCTTTTTTTTTCTCCCTTTTTCTTTTTCATTCTTTTTCTTTTCTGTTTTTTCCTTTCTTCTTTTTTTTCTTTTATTTTTCCCGTTTTTTTTCTTCTTTTTTCCCATATCTCTTCAGGAGATTATACGTAACTTTCCGAAGTATTTTTATAAGCAATAGAGAAGGCAGACATATTATACGTTACATTCCGAGTGAATTGCACATTCTATATATACTCTGTTAAATGAGAACTCACCTGCATATATTATCTAGTTCCTAATAAGGAGAAACTACTTTCAAGTAGATACATGGAAGATACAACCACAGGATACAATGCTGTAATTCAGGAGGTTTCTTATGTATATGCTCTCAGTATGGGCAATGCAATTTATAGATGAAGTATGCATACTAATAACTTATCGTTCATGAGGAATACATGGTGTTGCAATTACTATATGTCTTAATATTGAGAGTTCAACAATTCTTTTGTCATGAGGTTTAACTATACTGTAGTCGTCTTAATAGATCTCCCCTCTGGCACATCCCTTTCTTTTTGCATATATGATAGATCTTGCTCCGAGAATAAGAAGGTTAATACTGTACCACAGCAAAGAAGGGGCAGAACATTATTAATGCAGAAAGAGAATATAGGGGCCTGTGAGTGTTATCATCATTCTGCACAAGAGTTTCTATACACTGAAGAGTATGACAGGAGAGTTAAAGGTCGTAGTAACAACAGTACAGCAAAATATCATAATGGATCTAAAAAGCATATTAGCTATCTCAATTATGACTATGAGTGCAGTACATCCTCTCATTCAGTAGAGTCCTATAACACACCGCCTCCTGCTCATAGCGAAAGTGACTGCTCTAACTGTCCCTTAAGCGAATCAAATGAACAATGTCGACGATCCCCTGAGATTCTGTTATGTGACTGCGAACCTGTGAAGAGTATCTTGGCGTGTGGGATCATGGAATTTTTGGAAGGAGTTGATTCAGAATTTGAGAAAATATTAGAGCGTTGGCTGGATGGTGATTCAGTAACACACATTCCTTCAGTTAGAAAAAAGGGAAGCTTCGGCAAATCAATACACTATATTCAGAAGCATAAGATACTCTTCCCTTTAGTCTCCTTACTCGTAGTTCTTCTTGTACTTATGACATGAAAAGGGAGGGCCACGTTGATTCTCTCAGTGTCTATCATAGGAATCGAGGCGGAAGGTTATTATTTCATGAAGTTTATGAAGATCATCAGAATCAGGCACTAGTAAGGAGGATCTAAATTCACTATTAGGAAGATACATTCGCGTAATCTTGACGGAATAGGCATTTAACTTTTGAATCCATTCATTGGGGATTTGAGTACCCATAACTTTTTTTTGAAACGCTGTCATGAACTATGCATTCCCAGTATATCCATGAGCCCACGGCCTTTCAGTTATAATTTCCTCTCTGTTCCTTTTTTTATTCAGAATCATTCTTTCCATTTATACCTTAGACATGCCAGATAAGAGAATCGCTGAGCCCTTGCAGTTACTATCTCATCCTTTGGCTTATTAAATAGTTACAATTAGGCAACTATAATGTAATATGCATGGAAATCCGTTCCCCTCAGTCTTTCCTCTTCTTCTTCTTCCATATCCTCATACCTTCTTTCGTGAAAATTCCTAACATCTAGTTTATTTTAGTTGTAACTAAGAGTCGCATTTGGAAAAGTGTTCTAAGTGATGCCTTTATCCTTAACATTGCACGCCTGATCGTGGATTGTATGTTTCACAAATTCTCTGAATATGTTTTTATCATTGTCCCTTTGAATGTATAACTGTCGTGTGTTATCCTTTAAATCAACACCTGAGAGTCTAAGCTTAAGGCCTTTATGATAAACCTGTAAATATATGAAATCGATGCTTCTCTTGAAAAGGGATGAAGTATTAATAAAGAAGAAGATGCATGAAGGACTCCATAATCTTTAAAATATTAATGTGGAGAATGCTAAATTTCGTTGTGCAGTTGGTAGTACTGTCCAATGTTTCCATGACATTAATGGAATAAAACACGGAAGAAATTGGAACAGGGCACATACCTTCTTTGTTTCCTCCCATGTCCTAAATGGATGAGATTAAAAAAATCTGTGGGTAACTATAAGAGTCCCAGTTATGGAACAATTTTTCGTTCAGCATCCTGTACAAATGTGGTGTCTCATGATACAGTAGGGCCGTGTGTTTTCTATAAAATAGCTATGTTGTATTTTATATAATACCTATATTATTCATTCAGAAAGAGATGTTATTTCAGAAGGAAAATGACAACATGAATAGAGAAGGCGTCTCTCGCATAATCCCTATGAAAGCGAAAAGAATAATTTAGAAATCGTTTATATAATTTAAAAGTACCTGAATTTTGAAAGAATTTCTAGGATAACCTCTGTATTATTATGGCTTGCGTAGGATAACGAAATCATAACTATCAAATGTCCCCTACCAATAGAGAGAAATTATTCACTCGTCATTATGAAAAAAAAAACTTTATCATACTTATAAGAAATGATGACATCGTCTTCCACGATGTACCATAATCCAGCTCATAATTTCTTCTTGGCGGGATCAGATCATGCAGGTATACCAGCCACCCATAACAGTACTGGCACTGCGCGCCTCAAGAATACTAGGCTATTATTGACACATGTTCAGAGACACTTGAAAATCGTATATGCTTCAGAATCCCCCCTCAGAAGGGATTATACATATATCCTGAAAAATAGAGGCAATATTAACAGTGCCTGTAAGAAGTTTCTGTTAGAGGATTTTCAAAGACGAAGTCGCAAAGCTACTGGGGATATTTTAGATAGGAGCTAGTCAGCGCATACTATAAACAAACTCACGGATAATGAAGCAGTAATGTATGAAAGCTCAACAGGAGGATTATCATGGGATCTAAAGCCGCGTAATTCTTTTGTACAAGCCCTACAGAACATAAAAATCGTTATGATTACACGTAATATGGAAAGTCTACAAGGGATTCTTCAAAAAATTAGATACATAGAACAGAGGGTTCTAACTACCGGAATCAACATTATCATAGAATTTCATAAAGAATTAAATGTGGCTATCCAGAAGACTTTATCAATGAGGAATAAGAAATTTAGCACCAGAGTAAAAAGTCGAGCAGAATATCTCCTGAGACTCCAAAGGGGTAAGTGCGGGAAATCCATACTGTACTTCAACAACTGAGAGGACCAATTTTAACAAGCATCGCAGTACTCAGACTCCAGAATTAGGAGTAGGCATTCGGGGAATCCGTACTATAATCCTGAAGGAATACAACGACGTCATCAATTCGGTGTGCGATCCAGTACGTAAAATCACTGCCGTAGAAATAATACATACATGTCGAAGAATTCTACATCATCCCGCAGCGTCCTTATCATATAAGGCATACAATTCGGTAAATAGGGGTAAACACCATCCGCATTGTAGTAGGAGTGAGTAGTGGCTACTCGGGATTGAAGTATATCGTCTGATGCTCCCTTTACCAATGCTCGTTGCATTCACACTGGAAGTATTACGGTTATTAGTAGGCATCCCATTGACAGTTGTCCTTTGTGTATCTTATGGACTTTTTGCTTTAGGCGTCATAGAATATCTTTATGTGCTTCTGAAAGTATCCGAATATGGAGAAACATTTGACGGTATCAGTAAGCCTCGTTTTAAGGATTGTATATGAGGTGTGGAGAAATACATGTGAGACAAGATCTCGGCACCTTTTTCAAACACAGTAACTGGTTATTATTGGATGCTATGCTGTAATGATAGCGGGGCTTCTCCATCGCTGAGGTAGGATCGTAACTCCCATAACCCCTTTTAAATTTAAACAATTAGGGCCCTTTTTCTTCTTACCATCCTATCTACATCACATTTCAACTGTGTTCCGTATAGTAACATCGTATTTTGCCTTGAGTAAGACCCTCCTTTCAGTTTTACATTAATATGGTGGTTATAGAGCCGGTCCTGTGTTATGTAGAATTATAAGTAAAAAGCCCCCATCTTGTGGGTATCATGGATATCTTCGGAATGTTGCAAACCTATATAGCTATATGGATGCCTCATCACATACCCCGAATACATCTCCTGAAATCAGAGTCTGGTATAGGAAGCTAAAATGGCTATATAATTTATTCTTGTCATGACGACAAGTCTATCTTTCTTTTCTCTGGCATCTACTTCCCTGAAACTGATCAAGAGTATGTTTCATGTGTAATGAGAGGAAACTCATTGGTTGCATTTTATTAGCTTCTAAGAAGGAGAATTCTGCTGTCTTTAAACGTACAGATCAGGAGAATTGGGGAGGGATTTCTATGAGGGGTTATCAGTGGAATTATTATATGCCTTGTTTCATGTGTGTGACTCGGTCTGTTTCTGTTTTCACTTCTTTTTTGGCTCCGTGCTGTTCAATCTCCAGATATTTTATCTTTTCTCTCGAGGTTGATATTAGGAGGGACATGTGACTTCCTTTTTAATCTCTTTTTTACTGACATCAAGAGGGATGTTCTAATTAATTTGTCGCAATTCACCACTGTTACCTTCCCTTCCTCTTCATTTGTATTTTTTCTACTCTGTGTTAAAGCAGATGAGGAAAGAGTTGAGGGAGCAGATCCGTATTATAAGCATTCTCACCTTAGATGCATTAATACAACCATATGCAATCAGGAATGATTCTCATATGGCTCCATAAATATCTTTTACATCATTATAATTTCTTCAGAATATTTATGATTTCATTCGTAGGCGTCTCCCTCCAGTCACTGTTAGGGACATGACGCCACACAGAAAGGAATCGTGTGCACACCTCCTGAAATGAGGACGCATTATCTCTTGATTTTTTTATTATTTGGCTTCTGTTTCTTCCTTAGAAAAATAGCTGACCTATATAGTCAAAGGTCATTTCATATAAGATGAGAGACATGTCCCTTTTACCTGTCTTAATAGTTGATTTGAGGGAGAAGTGGCAGAATCAACACTGTGTCTAGAACAGGCAGAGATAAGAGCACAACCATTCCGTGATTAATTAGACAGCAGATATTAGAACATACAGATACAGTGATCCAGTGTTGACTACCTTATCAGGCCAGTCCTCAATTGAAGTTGGAGGAAAGAGCGAGGAGAATTCTATGAGCTGAAGAACACATCCTGTTTATGCCTACGCCACGCCAAATGAAATTGAAGAACAACAGGCAAACAATTTGCGGATACATATTTCCCACCCTCCGGCGGGGAAGTGTCCGATACTAAAATTCCAATTTGTCACTATCCACCTCGTATACTGAAGTGTAATTCTCACTATATAGTCTCTTCAGCCGCATCCTCTGTTACCATTTCCTTATATAGAAACATGTTGATGGCTGATCAATTTTTCCCTGTGTGTCTTCCTCAAAGAGGCATTAATTACTACGGTGAATTCGTATTTATCTGTTAATGCTACCTATCTAGGCCGTATATTTGTCTTCTATCTTCTTTTCAGGACCGCCCAAATCGAACAGATAGGATCATGGTTTATTTAAACAATTCATTTCTCTTACGCCCACCTATTTGTTCAATGCCAGAACCTTATTATTATAATGTGTATAAGAGTCTCCTGATAAGATCTATCTCGCCTTTATATTATGTGCAAAATTTAACCCATCGATTCATGAAACGACAGATATCAACCAAAAGGAATCGCCTAACTATCCCCCCCGCCAGTGCAGTAAAAATCCACAAGGGGGGAGGTAGTGAAATCGTCTTGAAAGCAGTCAAAGCCAGAAGTAAATTGCTCTGCATGGAAAAGGATGAGGAAAAATGGGGGGGTACCGTATATATCTATATATATATAATATCTATGAGATCAAATGGGAAGAACAAATAAGAAAGGGAGCAGTGAAGTACTCATATGTCTGCAAAAAACATATGTTCTTAACGGATTTCGCAGCAATCATACCTAAAATTCCTGTTCTTATGGGATAATCCTGTAGGATATTCCTCTTCACCTCATGTATAAATTATCACGTGCACACAGTTAATGATAGAGGATGGATCTCATTTTATACGAGAGGAGCTATGAAGCAAAGAAAGAACAAAACGGAATAATGACGCTCCCTATTGCAGGAATATTAATATAGTTGTACATAATAATTCATTAAGACCCGCAACGTTTTAGTGGCTCTTGGAAGTTCAGCCCATACGCCTGTTAAATAAAGAAAACATTGCGATAAGAAGAAACGTAAAAGATATGATGATCAACGGGGCTAGTAGGATTCAGTACCGAAGCGGAGATTTTGCTAGAAGGGGACAACTATATGATTGTATTCCATTGGGGGTGCAACCGTCGTCTGATTATTTCGGGGATTTCACTGCAGGAAACATGGGGCCCTTCTGTTGTTATTTTATTTCCTCTTTATTTTGTTGAAGATTACAAATAATATTTCGCAGAATAAAGGGCGCTTGGAATGATTTTGTTAGACAATCCTTAAATTATTCTTCATTCAAGGCCCTATGGAGTCTATAGGTACATTTACCTGCTCGATGGATTACGGTCCGTGTAGTTATTTTTTAGTTGAGAGATGCATCATCGAATTATATAACCAAGTAGTCTTCAGGGAATACACATGTTTCTGAGTCATGAATAACACATAACCAATACCCCGGAAACAGTGGCAGGTAAAAGTATAAGCCATCAGTATAAAAACTACCCTTCTAAACAGGATGACAGTAGGACGTAGAGCCAAAAATATAAATCAGGCCAAATGACAAAGGTCCCTACGTCTTAAAGGGAACCCAACAAACAGGATCAGACACGCATGGCGCCTAACGGACGCAAAAAAATCTTGGACGTCTGTCCCTAGCACCTAATAAATACGATGTCCACCCTAGCCTATAACAACCAGGGGTAGAACATGAGAATCAGAGATAAGCAGAAATCCATAATCATAAGTCAACCATCAAAGGGTCAGAAATCATGAGTCGAAACCTCCGAAGCAGAGAGAGAAGCCAGGATGAGAAAGAGGAAGATTGAGCCATGGAAGATATGGAATACCATCGCCGGCCAAATAATAGACAATAGAAGATAAAAGTAAGAACTAAAAGATAGAGCATAGAAGCAATAATCTCAATTAAAAAAGCCTCAAAGATGGAGCGATCCCACAAAACAATGAGCGGGAAACCCGCAAATCGGACAAATGAAAGCTAAGCCCTGAAACCCTGAGGCCTGAACGGTATGAGCTAGACCTTAACCCTAAACCGTGAACCATGAATCCAAAAAGAAAAGGTAGAATAAAAGGCCTGAACCTGAAGTTAGAATCTAATCCCTGAAAGACTAAGCCATAGATCTAAAAGCTGGACCCGAAAAATGAAAACTAAACGCTAAACCCTGAAGCCTGAACCAGAAAGATAACCCATAAACCGCTAAAACCTAATGACTGAACCGTAACCCCTGAAACCTAAACATAAACCCTGAATCCTAATCCCTAAGCAAAAAACCCTAACTCCTAACCTTGAACTCTAAACCCCTTCGCCCCAAATCCTAGCCCTGAGACCTAAAGCCCAGACCCTGAACCATCAACCCTCAATCTTAAATCCCCGAAGCACGGCCAAGAGTTGGCCTGAATTTACCCAATCCAATCCTCTCCTACTCCTATCCAAACTATGCCCACCCGTCTAAGAGTCAATACAAATAGCCAACTACGCCTTGGGGTCCTAAGGAAGAAGGACCCCCTCCTCCGTCTCTTGCGGCTGGTTGCGCCTTAAGGGTGGATACTAGTATCTGAGATGTCGATAGAGATGTTGGATATTGAACATATGAAGGTTCAACATGATCCCGCCCCAGGGCCATGGATAGGACTAGGGGTTCGATTAAGCGGGGGGCTCCCCCCTTCCTTCTATGATTTGGGGCCTAACTGTCATCCAGGGGGGAACGGAACCAGTATCTTCTCAGAGAGGACTGGAGAAGCTTCCACGCCATCCCGCCTGTCCGTGATGATTGTTCCGGATATGGTTGCTAGGTTCTACGTAAACCACGCAGGGATCCGTTTGTGGGTTTGTTATCCAAAAGAATGATTCCATCCTTGAGCTCTGATTCACAGTGTTCCACTATTTCTCAGGCTCCTATTGCCCCTTGGTACGCAATGTTAGCTTCTCCCCCCTTGAATGAAGTTCTGCTGCCCCTGATACTTCTCCTCGGCCTAGAATAAACCCTGTATATCCCGTATAGACTGCCCATGGCCAAGATTCCTCCTAGGACTCCCCCCAGAATTGATCCGATACCTACTGCTCCTATGACTTCTGGGGCAACACCAGATGGATCTCTGTTCACTTGGTTTGTCTGGGCGGAATCCTCTTCTCCTTGAGTTGTGGGTTTGTCTGAGCTTCCTGATTGTACGTCTTCGTGGTCAGTAACTCCATGGCTAGCCAGGGAGTTACCGTACTCTTCTTGGGGGACGGGGCCCTCTGGTAGTCCCGCATCATTTGTTTCTTGTGAATTTATGGTGTCCCCTGAATCAGATGGCGCCCTGGGTTGGGGCGCAGAGTTCGCCATCCTGTTCCTAGAGGTGTCAGCCCACTGGGCTCCTGAGGCTCTGGGGGTCTCCTTCTGAGGGGACTTGGTTGCTCGTTTGGCCTGGGTCGCTACTTCTATTCCCCTTGGGGAGCTGAGCTGTCCTGGGTGGCTAGTCAGGGCTTCGGCGGCCCATTGTCGAAGTGGGGCCTCGTAACTTGTCTTATACTCCCCTTTGGTGGTTACGGTCTTGAGCTCTTTCTCTGTGTCGGGATCCCTCAGAGTCAATTTTCCTGTTTCCTTCTGCTTTTTACTTTTACTTATTCTCCTCATGTCCCTTGTCCAAATACTTAGATACCCTCCTTCGTTTTCGCCGCTACCACCTTCACAATTTAATCGCTCGTCCTTCAGAAGACATTGTCCAAGGTGACTCAGGTTCCAGGACGCGTTGTCTATAATGCCCGTTAATGTATAATGACCATTGAAATGACAGCATGTTCTTAGGCCATAATATATACTCAAAATAATACCCAATCTGTTGTAATTGTCTTTTTGTATAGATTCGGTGGTTCCCAGGGAGCCCAGAAACTCTCCTACAGTCTTCATGTTCTTGGGATTAAGGCGCTGAGTTGGTGGGTTCAATGATAGCTGCAGTTCGTCCCAGATATCTTGACAGACCCTCCTACCTGCCTCGGGGGGATCGCCCTTGGTGTTAGGCCACCCGAGAAGAGCCATTATTACACATGATAACGCCCCTAACATTGCTTGTCCGGTTTTACTCTTCCCCCAGTCCTTTCCTGTTCCTCCCCTTAAGGCTTGATGCCACGAACTCGAGTTCCATATTTCTCGGTTGCTCCCACTGTCTTGGATACTGATTCGTCTTAAGGACAACGCGTTTGACATTACACATTGTATTATTCCTTCCCATTCATATTGCTCGATCTTTTGCTGTAACATTGCTTGCAGCAGTGGCGACGAAGTATTTTTCAGCTGCGTCCAGGATCCGTCCCCCCCGTCGCGACTGAGCAAATTACTCCATCTGCCCATAAAGCCTGAGAGAACGTCCACTCGTGTTCCATAGTTCCCCAAACAATACTTGTCTAAATGTACCTCACATCCTCCTGAGCTCCTAGGAGCTGGTCGTAGGGACCAAGCGTTTCGCTCGTTCTTTAAACTTAATTTCCTCATCTTCTCCCCACGGGTATTTATCCTCTTTCGCCTCTTTGTTGTTTTAGCTGGTGGCCCCGGAGGGTTCCGTGATCCATCTCACGGCTGCGATCTATTCAGCTCCTCCTGAGCTTATGAATGGAGTTTATGATTCGAGTTTATCCTCCCCTCCCTCTGCTTCCCCTAGTCGGGTGTCCAGCTGGAGGTCCTTGTTGGCTGTACCTTGATTTCTACCTTCGTCGGGCTTAGCTGCTCCGTCATTCCTCCTGTTTCTGTTCCAGTTGGGGGGGGTTTCCTGTGTTTACCTTGGTTGTGCTCCGGTTAGCCTTCTTAGTCCCTCGTTCGGCTTCCATCGACATAGTGCGAGCCCTTGTGCTGTTCCGCCGAAGGGTCTATTTTCCTGATGCCTCCGGACGTGGCCTGAGTCAGTGCCTAGTCCGCTGATAAGGCCTTCTCCTGACTTAGTCCTCTCTGTTACTCTTTTATCAGTCAGTTGCCGGTACTCGGTAGTGAGGGGCCTGGGTCACGTTTCAGTATCCTCCTCTTTACGACTATTATGTTCCTTCTCTCTTGGCATCAGCTAAGATTCTCCACTTCGCCCAGTTTCTGGGGACTTCATCCGTTCTCCGTCTATTCCGTATGACTCCTGTTTCTTCAAGCTCTCAGAAGACTCCCCGAGCTACGTTCCTTTTTCGACGGTTCAGAGAGTCGGGAGACACAGGGGATTTGGCTCCCACTTCCAGATTGGGCTCCCTCTTCTTTATCTGTTCGCTATTCCTCATCAGTTCCTACCCTCTTCCTGCTTCTCTCCCATCGGCCGCTTCTCTGTCTAGGGGTATTCTTGCTGATCCCTCAGATATGGGGCTGTCCCTGATCCTTCACTGTCTCTGGCTTCACCTTCTGAGGAACGCTGCCCTCCTGAGTCTCCCTCTAACTCCTATCTTATCTCCCTTCGATTCTCCCGCTTCTTCCTCCTTCCTTCTTATGCCTCCCTCTTGAACCTCCGGCGCGGTTTGTCGTGCTGTTCAGTTTCTCTCTCGTTGCCCGTTTGCCTTTGGTCCACCTCTGGTTTGGCCCTCGGTCTGTTTTCTTCCTTGCCCTGTTCTGATGCCTATTTCGGATCTCTTCCTTCCCTAGGGGGTGTTGGGTTCACTTTCCAACCCTTCAGTCCGCGCCGGGGGGGTTCCGATCCTTCGGCCTGCTTTCTAAGAACGAGTTCGCTTTATACATGTTCCTTTGTTATTCGGCTTGGTTGCTCCAGAGAGCACTTTTGCCTCATCCTTTGAAATGAGCGGGGCCTGCTACCTGCGTTGAGCTCCGGGTGGTGCAGAAGCTTCCGTAACTAGTCATCAGACGGAGGGCTGCGTCTCCTTGGGACTTGTCCACTGTTTCGGATTTCCTCTTTTGCCTTGGCTTTCCGGTGTTCACATCATACTCTGTTGGGGGTGGTTACTTTTTCGAACGTCCCCTTCTTACGGAGTCGACGCTTCCTCCTTCGGTGGTTGTGTTAAGACGTTTAGCCGCATGAGATGTCTTTAGTTTCGGGTTCGGTTAGGCCTTCGTCCAGTTGCTCTAGCTCATGGCGCTTGTCGGCAGGCTGCCTCGTACTTTAGGAGACTTCCATAGTTTCCTTCGGGGGTTCTGTTGCTCTTGTTCCTTTAGATCTATCCCTCGGCTTCGGATCTGAGGCTCGTTTCACGTTTCGTTAGCACGTGTGATTAGCCCTTCCTATTCTCTCTCCTTTGCTGCTGCTCCTGGAGTTGAGGATGATACTCTCCGGTTCTTTCCGTATGTGGTGCCTCCTGGGGATTAGCCCCACCTCGTGGGTGTTCGGAGGGAGATTATGTGGTTTTTTACGGGGTCCCTCCTCGGGACGCTCAGGGAGTTACTCTCGGGAGCCTTTGAGACGAGATCCTCACGGTCACTCGCTTGTTGCTAGTTAGGGCTACTCTGTTTTAGTTCCTTCTCTTCTTTAGCTCCGGGGATCAGAATGGCTGAACTACCGTTCTGAGTTGTCTGTTCTGGCGTTACTCTTCCCTGATCCCATCTGCCTGACATTCTTGTGAGTCTAATCCCCTTCTTCTCTCATGTCCACACCTTCACCCGGTCGCTTAAGCCTTTTTCTCATCTCGCCGATGAAAGCTAATCCTCCTCCTCGGCCACTGCGCTCCTCCTCCTTGCTACTTTCTCCTGCTGATACTCGTTGTCCCCATCTTTCTCTCCCGTTTTTATCTTCACCGGCTGTCCTCCTCGGGGTGAGTTCTAGAACTGTTACTCCTATGTAGATCTCTTGATTTCATTTCGGCTGTCCCCTTGGGCTGTGTAGGTCGTTGACATTCGTTTCCTCTGCCTTTTTTGGAGATTAGTTGAGCTCTGGCTTCGGAATCCAGAGATTTCCGTAACGATCTCCACCTGTCGGCTCCTCCGCAGATGCCGCATCTACTATTTCTTCCCGCTTGCGGGTCAATCACATGGTAATAAGCTCGTCTCTCCGTTCGCACCTCCGAGAGTGTGATTCCTCGTTGGAGTATTCTGCTTTATCAGGTTATCTCCTCTGCTGCCGTGGAGTCGAACTCTACCGCCCTACCCGTTAGAAGGATTGGGAGATGCAAGGTATCTAGGGTATCTTCTTCTGCCGGGGTGAGTTGCTGACGCCTACCGTTACTTTCTTGGGAAGTTCAGCCTATGAGACTGACAATGCGGGGTGACGTGTCTTGTCTTGTTTCCTTGGTTCTCTGCTCCTGCTTTGGCTCTAGAGTCTACAGTCCTTGTTAGACACGTGTTGTCATGATCGTGAGACAGATGCAAATGTGTCTTGACATCCACTAATTTCTTTCGTTTAGATCAGGTGGTTTTCATTTTTGGGAGGTGGTCCGCCTCCTATTCTTAGAATAAAAGTCGTTCACTCCTTTGGTCCAGGTGAAACCCCAGTGGCTCTTCTTTTTTGTCTTATCAGGAATTTTTGAGGTAATTCTTTATGGGTCTGTGGGATCCTAACTATTGGTTCCCATCGGGCTTGACCCATTGTTGCATAATCTCCGACCGCTCCGTCCACTGAGGGGGGTTATCCTCCGGTCTTGCTGCCTTAGTGGGTTTTCTCCATTGGGAATTGAGGGTCCAGTCCTGAGTTTCAATGCAGTCCTCAGGTCACAGAATCGGACGGGTTACTCAAGTTAGCTAGGGGCTACTTGGCTATTTCGACTTCAATCCTCTGTTTTCTTGACTGCCTTGGTCCGTTGGGGGTTCGGCCTCTTATGTAGGAGAGTGGGTGTCTCTGACTTTGTTCCCCTTCGCGATTGAGATTTTGTCTTTCCGGTCAAGTGCCCGACGTCTGATCGTCCGCGCCCCGCTTCCGTCATCTGCCTTCGGAAATGATTCCGTTGAAATGGTTAGGCTGCCCTTTAGTCTTATTCGGAGATAGAGGTTCTGGCTATATCCTTTCGCTTATGATTTGAAGTTTTCTTTGGTGGGGGTTGAAAGGGGGGGGGGAAGATGTTCTATTTTTATTGTTCGTCTCGATTTTTGTACCTTTATCGAGGTTCTGTTGTTTGTTGAGCCTTCCGTCAGTTACTTGAGCTGCGACTGTTTGATATAGCCCTGTCTGTCCTCACCTTTCGGGTTGCCCCGTTTGGCGGCTCTGCCTGTTGGGATTTGGGAGTATTTGATTGCCTTAGGAATCATCTCCGGCTAACTATTCTTCTTTTGGATATTAGGGCGGCGATTTTTGTTCTGGCTTAAGTTTAGCTTCTTTAGGGATTTGTTGAAGGAGAGTGGACTGGGGAAACTGGGGTGGCAGGAGTCTTTAGGACCGAGGTATGGCGGCTGGACGTTATGTTTGAGTGTTGGAGGGTTATAGGTCGTGGAGGGGGAAAGTTTCCTCCCTGGGATCCGGTTCCATCTTCGGAGTTTGACTTCTGCTTTCGGGTGGATCGTATTGTCTTTGTTGTTTTGAAGGTGCTTGAACTCTTCCTTTTTAGGGGAGGTGAGGAGTCCTGATCAGAAGCTACTTTTGTCGAGCTCACGTGTTGGTCGGGACCCATCTAAACACGGCTGGCCCTGTGGGTGGTCTCTTGTCTTTTATGATGAAATTTGGTTTGTTCTTGTTTTTTTTTCCCAGTATCTTCTTGAATGCTTTCATTCGAAATTGCCGAACTAAGACGAATTCTGGTTGGATGAGGATGGTCCTACATTATTGTGGTGACTTTATCTAATTGGATACGATGTGGGACCTGTTCGGGGGGGGGTAGTTGTTGATGAATCTTTTCTGGGGTCTAGGTTGGCTTTGCTGTTTCCTGAAGCTCTGTGCATGGGTGGGGGTTGTTTGAGTTCGTTCAGGTATTGTATAATGATCATAGCAGGATTCTTTGTCTTTTAGATAATTAATCTAACCGCTAATCTGACTCACAGGGTCTTTGGAGAAAAGCCCTTTTGTATGGGTGTATCTAGTGAATTGAGGTTGTCTTATGTCCTCAGGCCCCATTCTTCTTTCAGATATATTGCATAGGACCCTATGATTTGGGGTGGTGGAATTTTAGGCGAATTTGGGATTTTGGTCAGTACTAATACTCAGTGGGTATTCTTATTTAGTATTTTCCTTTCCTATTAGCTGTCCGGCTGTTGAACCCTTATAACTTGATCATACTCACGTCAGGGTGGCCGGGAGGGTAGTTCGGACAGCCTTTTAAACGTATGTTCCTTTTCATTTAGCTTCCTACCTTGCATTTATTTTAGATATTACGTTTCCTATTACTTTTGCGTCCTTTATACAAATTAAAAAATTTTTCCATTTCTTCATATATGCTATAGGACAGATTAATATTTCATCTGGAGTCGGTGTTCAATAACATAAGGCGCCGCTACTCCTGGGGTCAGTTGGGTTCTTCTCTCAATAGAGATGTTAAGAAATCTCTTAATTGGATTTGATTATCAGGTCTAGTTCAGGAACTCATATATACGACCTCCTGTATAGGGGAGGTTCTTACGAGTGGATAAAGAGAGTTAAGGACTAAATGTTCCTTTTATATGTTTTTCTATAATCTATAAGGCCTCGGGGAGGAATTGATTCTGCTTAGATTAGCTTTGGAGTTCAGAATCATTCCACAATTATTATTTCAGTAACCTAATTACATGAGTTGGGTCCGGGTGACGTTTGGCGTGTTTTAGGCACTATTGGAAATTTAATCCAGATTAGGAGAGAACACTAGACAATTTTTCTGTTTTATCTATTAACTTTATAATTTTACTAGTTATTAATGTACATTCATATCATATAAGACTTATGGGGTGTCAGACACATTAATGTGCTGGTGTTTTCGGTTATAGCTCTTTTTTTTCTTCTTACTTTAATATTTTTAATCTTGTTATTATAGATTCGTGATTTCATAATATGAGGGATATACCATTATATCCCCTCGTAAATAACTAATTATACTTTTTATAATGATTTCATTATTTAATACGGTGGGCATCATAGGAAATATATCACGAGATTCTTATCTTTCGGACTACAAAACGACGTATAATTCTAGATGTTCTTTCTGCTCCTTCTGGCTGCTTAAATATTAGCCGAACGAGAGAAAGGAAGAAACAAATAATCTGAATAAATCCAATCATTCACTATGCTGATAAAATGTTCCTGGATTTCTGCCCTATTACCCTCCTCCTGTTAATCAATCGTAAATAATAAGGGTGCCTGTAGGTAATATATTCTCTTGTTGAAGTTCTAAAGTTAAAATGACAGAACAAGATGGGAAGCTGAGATGAAATAGGAAATGAACCCTCTCTTAATACGGGTAAAAAATAAATAAAAAAATCCTATACCTTCGTAAGATGTGCAGACTTATCTTTCAGTTTAATCCATAGATATGTTATTCGTTAAGGAGATGATATATTTTTTAGGACTATTACTTTATTGATAGAGAAGAATACTCCTATCACATTAATTACCGTCTGGAGGGATTATTTTTTGAGACAGTGACGGAATCATAAGGAGTTGTAGTGATCAAGTTTGTTCTTTATAGTAATTTTGATAAAGTGAGGGGGGGAAAATCTTCCACATCGTCCAGTCCACAAGTAAATCAGTCTTCCGGTGTAGGCCGTCAGATATATAGAGTATAGCAGCTCATACTATTCCAACCTGGCTGTTGCTATGCTTTGGGCGGCTGTTTCAAATATTTTTTACAGGATTGTTCGGGAAGAAGACCTGATACAACTCATAAATGGTACCACAGAATTTCTTCAGTATTGCTCTTAATAAAGCGCGCGAATATTAAAGTCTTGTCAACTCACCTATGATCCTTAACTTTCGAAGTTTGCGCGGATATGACTAATTCCATATTCTGTTGCTTCAGAATAATTCTAGTTTACCGGAATGGAACAATACATTCGGGTTCATACGCAGCTTGGAGGCTCTCAAGATATACTGTAGTGTACGCTTAGGTGCGTTTGATGAAAACTCTCAATTTAAAGTATGATAGTTTGGATTTTTGATTAAATTTAGTGAAATACGAATTTCAGTTGTGAATAATTCTTTAAAAAAACATATGTTCAGCTCAAATTCCAATCTTCGCACCTCCTCTAAATGTAGTTTCACGTCTGAAGATGCACTTCTTTCTTCCTGTATTCGTTTATGGTGGCGCTCAAGGCTTATGCTTAGGCTCCCCACCCTTATATTTTCCTCTACACTCTCCCCGTTTCTTGTTGTCTATATTCTTCCCTAGGGTTGATTCTATTTAGGAATAACCGTTAATTTCTCCTTTTTCCATTTTGAGTCAAACCCGTCCTTTTTAAATTCATATATAATTTTGTTCTCGGTGCATATTTTTTTCTAACAGGATGGGTCACTCTGGGTTCTTTTGTCATGAACGGTGCATTTATATATAACACTCTGGCGTAACTTATCCACACATTACATGAGTAAAAGGGCGGCTTATTGCTTTTATTTATTCTCAATGAGTCTTCCCATTGCCTAAATACTGCTATATATAAAAGGGGGGAGGACTTCTCAAAATTAAGAGGTTATTTTCATATCCACTTTGTTCATACTCTGCAATGGAATAGAAAGAAGTAAAATAAAAGTCTTGTGAGTATTGCGATCCAAAGACTTGGAATCCTTATATTCGAAATCAGGGCAACAGAGAATATACAGGTAAGAACAGAGCTTTCATGGTTGACCCTTGACCAGTACTGACCAATGCAGTCAGCATAGATATCTTATGATTACGATTCTAGATACAGCAAGAAGGGACACCTTTACACTAACCGTAGAGACACCGAATGTGGTAACTCTTCCAGATTCTACATCAGAAAGTATGTTATATCTTTACAAAAACAAAATAGCTCTTAAGGAAGCCTCTGAAACTTCAAAGAAGAAATAAATCTATTCTAAGCAATTATATATTTTCATGCATAAAATCACAAAGGGTATCATAGGATATTACATCCTAGGGTGACAAATAAAATTGTAGAGTTTGTAATTCAAGCCATAACGCTCAATACAAACAGGAAAAAGTGTAGAACACCAATTAATATATGTGAGAAATTTGGTACTTATATATGTTTCTCGCTAACTGCGAATAATCGCGTGTATTCTGAGACATGGAAGTTGGCAATCAATTCCTCTCTTATTTGATGCGATATTGGGACAGGTGAACATCCCACCTCATATGTTACTGTAACTGTTCTTTGCCGTTCCTACTTCCCTTCTTCTGGGTTGATTTGTTCTCTGTGAACATTGCTTTAGGTACTCTTATTTGTTAAGTTATTTTGGTCCCCTTTGGTTATAGGGTGCTACTCCCTTGCATGCTTCCTTTCAGCTTCATGTTTGTCGATATTCTTAAGTCATTTATATGGTTTTACCATATATATTTATTTTTCCTCTGAAATGGAGAATTTTGCTCAATGTCGCAGTACCTTCAATGTATAAACTTCATTTGGGGCATTTCTTCTACTCCATATTTCTTTTCTCCTCTTCCTAAAATGATAAGTGGGTTGTATGTTATGGATATTCGTATCCTCTTTTCAAAGATATCCTCGTAACATTAATGTTATGGACACCAATGATATTCCAGGGTGAACAGTACTCTACATATAATACTACTTTTAGGATACCGCATTTTCTCAAAAAATGTTACTACAGATACATCAAAGGACTTCGTAAGACTGTTATGTCCTTATAGTACAGCGGGGATTTTAACCCACTCAAAAATAAGGTACCACAAATGAGAAGACATCAGCGCAATATGAACAATGGTTCTATTCGAATAACGAAACGTCCAATGTTTCCTCCACCCCATAGTAATATTCGGGGCACATACCTTTAGCTCACTACATACTACTGCGGATATATTGTTACGCTTAATAAAATAGTGCCCCCTATATAAAAGCACTTTGCGTATATCGAAACCCTTCAAATAATCGTGCTTCGGATACATGCACTATCATTGCACAGTTCTGCTTTGCAAATAAGAATACTACGCGCATATGAGATGGACGACAGAATATAGCTCCAAAGGATCCATTACTCTTATGCGACTGTGGTCCTCAGACAATAGGACTCTACAAAATATGACTATAGTTCATCCATTAGTACATTCATATAACAGTATTACGAGGGATTCCGCAATTTTCCTCATTGAGAATGCATACACATAAGTATTTTTCAGGCAATAGTTTTCCTGGAATATCCATGCCCTTCACAGAATAGTGCTCCACTAATAATACCAGCCCTAGAATGTCAATATTGCACAAGCAGAAGTACTCTTAACATTATAGTACTCCGGGTGTAGAAATATTCTTCAAAGAATAGTATTCCACAGAATCCAGACGATTTGAACAATCCTATACTTCATATAATGGAGCCGTTAACCTTATATCGAAACACTTCACATGATGATATTCGGGGGATATTTCTACTCATTATCGTACATCATTTCATACATAATAGTACTTCTCAAATAAAAGTATTATTCTCAAAAAAGTACTCTTAATATAACAATACTCCTTGCACACTCGAACTGTTCGAATAAGAGTGCTCCGAGGAGAATGATACTCTTCTCGCCACGACACTTCGCACGTAATGGTTCTCTTAGTATAATATTACTCCAACTCATCGATATAACTCAACCATTAGTACTTTCATATAACGTTAGTATGGGAAAATTTGTACTTCTGACCATCGAAAATCTTGACACCTCAATAATCTTCGCGCAACATATTCCGTGGAATATCCATGTACTTCATAGAATAATGTTTCTCATATAATGAAAGCGTATACTCTGAATCCTTCGCATAAACTGCTACATGGACATCAATACCCTTCCTATAAGAGTATTATACGTACATCCCGACGCTGCACCCCCCTTAGATATACACATGACTATTCTGCACGCAAGAGTACCCCAGGCTTGCTTGTGCTTTCCATGTAACGAAAGGATAAGCATGTAACTACTTTGAACATATGAGTACTATAGACACGTCAGTAGGATTGCAACAATAACACTCCAGAATATCCTTACCCTTGACGCGACTCTGCACTTCAATTAACAGTGTTATCCGGGTGACACTGCTATTCACTTAATAGTACTCCATGAACATCATGACTTTTAAAGCAATAATACACCAGGGATAAGAGTGCCCTCTTATACATCGATAGATTATTCATGTTTAGTAATGCTACCACATCAGTATGGTCATGCTATTTATACTTCACATACGTGGCCATCCTCATAAATAGCCAAAGGAAGGAAATATCTTCATAATGATTCCAGATAGAAAGAAAAGGAAACAGATAGATCAGAATATTACGGAAGAAGAAATTCTAATAAGGAAGCATGACATCCAGTACAACATATCAACGAGGATGCACCCAGAATGGCTTCTTCACAATGATGTGACCTCAAGAAAAATTTTCACAATAATCGCGGCAAAAGAATATCTTCAGAAGGACCAGACAAAAAAACGTCGGGAAGCTAGCAGGAGAAGAAAAAATCTTCATAAGGAAAATAAGGAACGGAACAACATCTTTACAATGTCCCGGAAAAGGGGCATCTTCATAGAGAAAATCACACCCAAAAGAATATCTTCAGAATGCCGCCAAAAAGGGTACATCATAATAAAAAAATGACACACAGAAACACATCTTCACGAAGCCCAGGCAGGAAAGAGCATCGATATAAAACAGATGACAAAAAACCATATATTCAGGCTGTAGGCAGAAAATAACATGATAAAGAATGCCGTGGGAAACAAATGTCTTCATAAGAAGAAATCCCTCGGAGGAAAATTTCTTCCCCGTAATATGATGAAGGGAAGAAGAATATTTACAAAGCAGCCAAACAGAAAAATATCATCGATATGACGCGGTCACAGGAGTCTTCGTAAAAGAAATGCCACAGCAGCCAAAATATTCACAATGACGTGGCACGAGGAAACTCATGAGGGCCCCCGAAGAAAATACTATTGTCAGAAAAAAAATGCAATACAGAGAAGAATCTTCATAGTAACACGGAAAAAGAAAACCATTTCTATAAGAATGGCGGGCGAAAGAATATATTAAAAGTACAACGCGGTAAAATGAATTTTGGGAAGAAGGATGCCCCACAGGAAAGATACCTTCGTGATCGTACACCTAAAAAAAAGAAATTTGATAAAAATGGAGCGGGGAATATCATCCTGAACAAGATGCCAAACACAGGAAAATCTTCATATTGACGCAAAAACGAGGATGTAGCTATGTAGAAATGAAAAAGGAGGAAGCATTATTATAGTGACATGCGTAATATAGGAATCCTTAAAGAAATGTCAAACAGAGAGGAAGCATCACATTGTCGCAGCAAAACACTACATATCAACATGAAGAGATAAAAAAACAGCGCAATGATCCGAAGGCGGAGCATCAGAAAGATGCAGAAATAGAAAGCATCATCATGAAGAAACTACACGAAAAAGATCGTGATAAAGATGAAACAGATAAAGGCATTTTCATGAGGATGCTGCGAAAAATGTCATCATTAACAGACCCTCCGAAAAAATTTCGTCAAAGGAATGCCGCAGGGAAGGGTATTTTCATGAAAGAATAAAATTGAGAAAAATATATGATGCAAGACCAAACAGAGCGCGTGTGACAAATATAATATATGAAAGGACCCCACCAGAATGTGATCCACATGAAGCAACGTCCGGGAAAAATTAAGAAACATAGAAAGGCGTCTGCGAAAGATTACGCCACGTGAAATGACGTTCGCGAAATTACTCCACGTGGGACGCAGTCCGTGAATGTACCCCACGTGAATCCACCTTAGTAAAATATGGCAACATGAAAGGGCGTTGGCGAAATTAGGCCACATGAAGATACATATATACAAAAGATGCGCCATGAGGAAATACTCTCATAAAGTTGCAGAAAACATGAAAGAAAACACAAATGGGAATGATAGACACGAAGGCGCATGAGCAGGGACTATGCAGCGTGGGGATTGATATGCAAAGAAGTTGCGATATGAATTAACACACTTATAAAAATGCAGAAACATGGATAAACATACACAGCAACAATAGGACATGTGGTTTGATACTCGTGAAGATATCGAAACATGGAAAGACACACTCACAAAAAGGATGGGCCATGAGAGCGCATTCACGAAAATAACGTAATTATAAAAGAATCCATATAATCGCGACGGCTCACCATTTCACGCTTTACCCATTGGATCTGCATATCTCTATTTCATTGTACTCATTGCAGCTTCCACAGGAAGGCATGAACACATTTAAGCTCTATAGCAGTCCCTTCAATTGTATGCAGCATACAATTAAAACTCATTAGGAAATTAGAACTAACATTATACCACTTCAGATTCAACAAAATATTGCTCTGTTTATATATTCATAGATAAAACACGTCATGAACAATCATGTAATTTTAGCGGGCACATTTTTATGCCAAATTAACAATCTTGTAATTTGAGTCTGCATCTACTGGTAACTATATCATTCTTTCCCGTAGAAATGTGTAGCACTGGTACTATTCTGTGCCTCTCTAGTTCCATCTTCTTGTATCCTGTTCCTGTATGACGCCATAGGGGCATCATATTTCACTTGGTTAACAGCTCTTATTTCTATGACTCATGAACTATTCCCAAATATAAAAGAGAAAATATATACATATATATCCATTGGTATATGTTCCATGGTAAGGTGTAAAGAGATCAACAGAACATAGGCTGTTATCGATAAATGACAGCAACGTATAGAGGCATATAAATTACCTGTATCTCTTCGGCCAATATACTCCTTATGCCTCTCGTAATTGATGCATCCTCAGTTCAGACCCATAATGTTATTTCGCTTAACACTTCCAAGTGAGAAATCCCGTATATTCCTTTTTTAGTTTACTACAATTCATCATATGCAGAATGGGCAACCCGGTTATACTGAGACACATCTTTTATTCTCAGTTTCTTTTCATCATCCAATACTGGAATTTTCTCTTAATATTTATCATGTATCCGTTGTAATATATTATAACCCCTCCCATAATTCCTTCACTATCTTCTTTTGTTCTTGTATTATATATATCTAGGGGTAATCACAATCAATTGGTGCATCATGATTCTTGTCATGGCCTATCGATTTTGGTTTGGTTCTCATTGATATACTTGGACTGCACTTTATGCTCCGTTGCTTTACATACGGATGTAATACTCGTATTTTTCTGTTTTTTTCCTTGTTAAATTTTGCCCATAATAAGTAATCCCCTGAACCGAATTAATCGAACCGCGTTAGCACATTTGTAGTAGTCAGCGACTCCCGTAACGGGACAAGAGGAACTTTTAAATATAATTATTGCAATATCTTGTCCTCCGTAAGTTTTATGGTACGGCGAAGAATGATTAATTCTTACTATTCACCCGCATAATTCTTCCCATTTAGTCAATCCCCTCATTCGAAATTTATTCCTTCTTTATTTAATATTAAACTGATGTAGTGATAAATTTAACAGTTCCATTAACACCATTATCGGTTGCTTGATTTTTGAACTCAATATCCTGAACGATATATCCTCTAAAAAGATACCGGACTGACATGAATTGGCGTAGTGTTATCCAGATAGATAACTATGAAGTTCTTCAGTTAATTATTAATTGTATAGTTAGCAGAAATATGTTTCACAGTCTGTGCCTAATTGAAGCCAACTCGATATCTTGAGAAAACATTGCTTCTTACTTCACCCTTTAGTTCGCCACTAAATCTTCACGCGGCAATCAGTACAAATTAATGAAGGACATGTTGTGTATTGCAAAATGTATCGTAAAGAAAAATAAAAAAAAAGAAACAACAAGGAATACACAAAAACTTTTGAAAAAAACTCTTCTGTAAAAAACACGATTTGTACGAAATCAGCATTATATTCTAATATGTGGGTTATTACAATGTGCAAAACCAATTCCGGTACACCAAGATGTGGCGCCTGTGGTATTATAACTGCTTACAAGGAGTATATTAGCCTTATCCCACTTATCAAGATAATATTACGACACAGACATATATATAGATGTATACATACGTATATATAGGTATATGTACCATTATAACGGTCATGGAGAAATTACTAAAGTGTGCACTCATATAAATATGCTCATCCAGTCTTACTAATTTTTAAGGTGTCTCATAACGATTGCGCTACACAGGAAGCTGATCGCGAAAAAAGTAATGGTCCGCAATAAACATAAAATGTTACCGATAAAAAAATGCTCCTTTTTTGTACAATAAAACACAGATGGACGTCCTGAGGAGAACGCGTCTTCAAAGGACATATATCACAGAATTTTTCCTTGCATGTGACCCACCACTACTTCTGCATTTTTTTTTAGGTGCCTTTCTTTTTTTCTATGCATAAATTGTGACCTTACATAAAGGGGCAAGAAACAGAAACGATGTTCTTCATGAATACCAAGAGGAGATATATCTCAAATATGTAATTTTACCCTAATGCTACAGGTCGTATGGAATCGCTTTGTTCATATTTCCCCTTACTTATTCTTTCTACTATGTTTAGTGGAGTCTTATCCTTAATGGATTATATCAAGTGCTCATCTTTCCTGTATATATAAATATTTGTTAGTGTTTTCAAGTTAGATACACGTATAAACCATGCATGTCATATTAAAACTCGCCTCTTCCAGATTTTCATAAAGGATTAAAATTCCCTTCATTCGTATAAGACGCTACCCAAAGTGTGTTTATAACGCGGAAATCATTTCTTATTAATGTGATTCCCACACACCAATTACTATTAATACTCATTACTTAGGTACAACATGAGGAAAATACATGTCATATGAGTGCCTCCAAGAAAATTTGTGGTGTGTACCATGGAACAGATGACCTATATTAAAATAGGTAAATATGCCTACGTTGCCATTGTCTTAATCTCAAGACTGATTCTATCCATATGGGGCAATCAAATCAATGTACCCCCTCATAAGGCACGGAGTATTTCTTGCGAAATCTTATGTAAGGAGCATAATATTTAACGTCTCAACGGGGGATTTATGTATCCCGTCCCAATCAGCCCATGGAATTCCCTTGCTAATCTGAACGCAGTTCTATTGTCCAACTGTTTAAGACACATTTTGCTTGTCACCCGTGCTTCGTGATAGAATTATGTGATGTTAACAGCAACGTGCAGGTTTGCCTTAAGGAATTCGCAGTGATGTCCTGGTCAGTGTTTATCTCAACGTTCAGAATGCATATACGGCTATTGACAGCTGTTCTGTATAAACCCATTTACCGCTGTTCATATTTCTCCGTGGACTTCCTTTTTGCAAACTACGTCGGAAACCCATCTCAGTGTTGCCAAGAAAGGACAGGAAAAAAAAAAAGGAAAAAAATTCTCCCCAGTATTTGTAGGAATCAGCAGGAATACATAAATGGCATCGCAGGAAGAGATGCTCATCCCCTATATATTATCGAGCGGAACCGTCTCCAATCATAATTTGTCTTACACTATGCCCACTTAATTGGAAGCCTTCATGTTCTTTAAAATTGTGGCGGCTACATATTCTATCCACATTCACTATCCTGAAATTGAATTCTCCGTAGACATATGTTCTTTATGATGCTACACGTTATACAATACCACGATTGGTGTACTAGGAACCAGGGACCATCCAACTAATTGCGCTGCGCATGAGAAGAATATAAAATGTCAACTGAACATTCGAATATAATACAGGTTACATAAAACTATTTACAGCATAAACCGGATAACGTTCCCCCTTCCGTTGCAGGGGGGGAATTGTATAATACAACTCATAACTCTTCCTTCCTTCCGGATGTCCACAAGGATAGATTCAATTACGTAATAAAGTAGTGAAGAACAATAAGAAATGACTCATTCACACGATGGGGATAGCATATTGGGGGACTCTCACATATTACGCAGTATTCCGTAGAGACTGTATTCGCACGCATCTCTGCCCTGTGATCATTTTTTTGCGATGAAGTTTAGTATTAGGTGTACATCAAGTAATCGTCACATATACATCGTAGTAGACAAAATATGGCATACTGTAAAGCGTTTCTATTTTTTTCCTTTTCTGGCATGTTTCATTACGTTATTATCTGTAAAAATCTCTAAAAAAATTGAAATGGATGAAACATTTTTTTTCCGCAACATGCCGCGCCTGCACACTTCATTGATTCTATTGCTTTGGGTACCATCCTGTTGTCATGTTTTACGATATATTATAAAAATTACGCAGTCACTTTTTCTTAGCCTGAGCTCCATAAGATAATTCCCCAAAATTATATATAAAATTTAATTTATGTTACATATTCTTTCTGATTGGGGTGCTACAGGTAATATCATATAAACCAGAGCGGCATATTTGGTGTTATTCACATAGTTCAGAATACCATGCCAACAGGGTACTTTTTCTTACTTCATAATATCTGAGCGGTGCATGAAATCTGTCCATAAAAAACAGACCCCCTATATGCTTCCAAGGAGGAGGCACTTTTCTTAACGAAATTAAATCTCATAATATACGCGTCCTATACAGTCCAATGACAGGACATGATATATGTTATACTTAATCTGTCTCAATTCTTTTTCTTTCCTGTCACACGCATGCATCCTGCTCTGCATTATTAACAAGGCATAATTGCAGGTGTGTCTATTGTTATAGCCCGCAAAAATAGTTTTTAGAAATGCTTGAAGCAGTTCACGATCAACAATCAACGGAAGCTAATTAATCAGAAAGAACTGAACCCCAGAAACACGAAGGGACAAGGAATTTATAGATATCCTCCTTTATCTGAAAAAAAGATTGTTAACCTAGGACTACGAAGCCACCTTATATGCCGTACATATATATCATTTTGCGCCTCTGTGCAAATTAAGATTATATGTTACACTTTCCGATAAATGGATACATGATGTATGAAGCCCCAAAACTTTACCACATGGCGTATCATGACATGGCACGTACTGTATAATAATACAATTCTTTTCTCTCTTTTCCTTTTTGGCAGCTACTTCTCAATTTGAATGTACTCTTCTATAGAGAAGTAACCAACAGGCTACGCCCTATTTCATGATCAAGCGACTGACTTTAATCGGCAGGGCGACCTCCTCTGCACACTTTATCAATATAACACGGATTTATAAACAATACCTATGTTCCTAATTCGATCGTTATTATCTTACTGAAAAAAAACCCTCATTTCCAAATCTGACAACGTAGAGAACTAAAGTGGAGATTCCTCCGAAACTGTATTTTTTGGCCTAGCACATATAATATACATAGCAACACCATTATTCCACCTATTTCTTCAGGACATCTTCGCAATGTCTGAATTTTTTCCTTCATAAAGGAATATATATTTATTACATGATGTGTCAGAGCATGTACACTTTATCGGTGAGGATATCAAGGATGGCAAGATTATATAAAACGAAGAGTTCAATATAATACACAATGTAATATAGGGGAAATTACTAGTTCAGAATATTTACCTTTAACCGATATTATGGGCGCTAGCATTACTACCCGGAATTGCGTGGGAGATATATAAAAACACATCATGTACTTTCCTGAATAACAGTAAAGAGCAGTACCACGATAATAAGACACGCATTGGAGGTGTCTATTCAGAGCATATGCTACGTCATTTCACACAGTACTTCATAAAGGTTTTATCAAAACTTTCTTCCTCCAGAAGGACGGCGCAGGAATGTGCTATGTAAATATGTAGGCTTATTTGGTCACCCACTTCGCCATCACTTGATGTCCTGGTTCTCCTGTGAATCCTGACTATTCATACGAAAGAGTAAGCAGAGGCCTAATGGGGAGCGTAGGAGTGGTGTCCATACTGTGGGGACAGGAATATGTACAAGTTTTTCATACTGGAAACTCCAATGAAAAAAATGCTGTATTCGAAATTAATTACATTGGCCTAGGGGAACACAGTGCCTGCATGCGCTAAATATTTTTATTCCGAATGAAAATTTTATAGAAACAGCAACTATTGATATATCTTCATCCAAACCAGACTGTATTATAGCTACTCCTTCTGACAATATATTTCAACGCCCGAGTCATTATTCAGAACTTCCCTCAGAGCCTGCCCCCCCTAATCATAGGACGCCCCCCACGAAAAAGTAGTCGGAGCATCGATGAGGATTCCAAAATATCTATCTCCACATCTGAAACGTGACACCTCTGTTAAAAGCCAAAATCTGTAGCAGGTAGGAATGCAACAGTATCGGCCTCTACAGGAGTTTCTACTGATGAGACGCCGAAAGTAATAACACTTGATATACACACGGAAAATATAAATGTAAAATAAGTACAGATTCGGAAGGTATACTTACAGTGCAAACTATTAATCTTCTTGATACTCTACGTACAGGATGAAGGTTTCCTGTGTCTAATCCTCCAGCCGCCAATTTTACCGAACGGGCATAACCACCAATTCTCTCCCTCAGTAGGGGCAATCTTTATTATCCACCTCCATCTGTCCTTTACCTATCCGTTTATGCAAATCTCTCACAATCCCCGGCACATAGATTTCGCGCTGTGGGGAGTACATAATGTCCTTGAGTGCTATGGATGCTCCCCTCCTGGTCATTATCCTTACTACTTTCAGGACAAGAAATTGGCAATCCTAAGCACCCCTCACACGCCGTGTAGCCCCCCGGACTGTACATAATGATGGAATTGCCTTTATTTAGGTCTCAGTTATTATCTTAACAGTTGGGAGTCTCATTATAGAGGTTATCCTTCTTATCGAAGTATAGATATATGTATATATATGCGGACGGGGAAAATATCATTTAGTACACTGTGGTTGGTATTTACGGGACGCCGGAAAAACCAACCTAACCCTTTATGCCAATTCTTTCCCCTATCGCAATAAATGCCTCCAGAATCCCTGTTTGTCTTCAAGTAGGGAAAGCCCAAATCCCGAAGAAGGGTAAACATACGGATAGCAGTGTGTGGCCATGAGTGCAGAAGAAAGAAGGATATATGATATCATAATGACGAAGTACTACTGCGCAACTTCCAATATGAGGACTTAACATGTAATTGACACATCCGAAAAAGTTTATACATGCAAAATAAAGAAGAAATGCTGCCCAGAAGATTCCAGATATACATACGAACTCCTTTGATGAATCAGGAAGAAAAAATGCGTATTGACCAAGGGACATTCCTTCGAAATTGTACTGAACAAGATCATGATAAATGAAGGTGTGACATGTGAAACTACATAAATGAGCAACCTAATCGGAATAGGTGCACACAACTGTGGTAATCTGCATATACAGAAAAATCAGTGGCATAGTTTGGGACATAAATACTCCTATATCTCTGATATGTTCAAAGAGAACAATCAGTCCGACAATTTACAGCAGGGACGCAAAACCGAAGAACAATGTGTTCAAGAAAATGTAAAGTTCGAGAGAAATGAATTTAACGCAGAACCACATACTCCTTTCATGCAAAGGCGAAGAATTATATGTGGCAGTTAGGTTTCAAAAGAAAACATACATATGAGACAGCATATTCCAGATGGTCCGTTTGACAAAGTTATTAACCTCAAACCAGAAGAAACCGCGAAGTATGTAATAAGTCAGACCAGAATAACACGTCAAGGAAAAGATTCCATAAAAAAAAAACAGGAAGTATATGACCACAAACTGTGTGTACTTACAGATGAAGTAATAAATACGGAATTGTCGATACCGCTATTCATGATACTTCCGGATGAAGGTAAGGAGCAATAGGATTCACAAGACATGAACTTGTACATAGACGGCCACATAGGAAACTGTATGAACGAAGAAAATATGGAGACGTTCGCAAACATAGAAGATACCCACAGAATTTCTTGGGGATGTCAAGAAAGAGAAAAAACACGTTGAGTATAAACCATAAACATCTACAAGCCTCATATAAGAGGAGACGAACGAACAATAACACAGGAGCGCTCACCATGATGATAATGAAGTAGCTGGAGTAGAACATCTTCAGGGGCGAAATAGGACAGGCATAGTTACATGTTACATTGGAATGGTGTTCATAGAAATGCCATAGATTGAGATGACCTGAGAGAACTTTGATAACTACAGAGTACAGAAACAGGCGAAGGACTGCTACCTGGAAAAGGAAAGGGAGACATACTTCTAGATACAAGGAGAACAAGTAATTGAAATAGTTAACAAATTAGGCAGATAATTAACCCTACTGCTGGTCAGAATTGGAATGCGAAAAATATGTCAAAGGCAACTCACCAATTGCGACTCATCATGGGGGAAACCTATCTGAAGGCCGCGAAATATTTCATCTACCATTGTATGCCCCCTTCGTGTTGAATGTTGGGGTAGACAAATCTTCCGTAACATACAACGGAGAAGAAATGTCCAAATAGTGAATGCATAATAGCCTATTTGTAATAATCCCCCTAGAAGGAGCCTGAAAGTAGTTCACTTATCTGTCCTCTTAAATACTCCTTATACATAACAGCTTGGAAACCTACGCAACAGGTGGAAAAAGATCAGTGTCTATTTGTTTCACTTAATGATAAACATGGCATATTGGATTCTGTATTCCCCTGCACCTATTAAATTAGGGCAGACTGTCCTATGAGACACGTATGAACATGGAATTTACATAAAATGCTCTCCCCCATCCGGACGCTTCGGTAGAGAACGGGGCACAACCCACTGAAGACACCGCAATAGAAATCACACACTGATAAAATATCGTTAGAGAGAATATCCTAAGTGAACATTACAAGAAAAAAAAGAACAAGCAAATATAAGTACCACAGCATTCTCGAACACCAGGATGTCCACTACTTACATATCAGATCTGTCTGCCGTAAATTTGTAATTATGAAACCGCCTATCATTCATTTACCAACGTAAATAGAAGTTATGCCATTTTTTTTCCATATTTATTCTTCCAATGAGAGAACAATAAGTGTATGTTTTACTGAAAGAATTGAGGGCATTCTTAGTAGGATGGAAAGAGAAGGAACTTTCTGGTGATTTCTCTGCGAAATGGAATTCGTCAAATTTGACACGGAAGAGGAACATTTAGAAATATGGTATTGCGGGAACAGGCCTCCCTCTGCCTAAATAGTGATCATCATATAACCCATCAGGTAAGATACCACCGTTTTTGTCGACGTCCCTGCTTAATCTTACTAGAATATATATTATGATAACCCTCGTATTATATCGGAATGTGTCAAATTACAGGGTCATCCCTCCTTTTGATTCTTCTTAGGTTTTGTGTTATATCTAATGGAGTTTTCGTATGTACGTGAAAACTCACATTTTCACCTTCCAGTTACAATCCTTTAAAAGATTATCCTGTTTAGTGAAGTGTCGCCTACGTTTGGTTCCGATCCCGAAGCTGTTATATCTTGAATCCGCTCCGCCATATTCTTTGCTTTCATATATTCGTCGCACAGATATACATAGTGTACTAGACAGATAAACAGGATTTCCTCATCCTTTATCACCAGAATCTCGTATATTCCGCCACGGAAAGATTCTTCAGCTGTTTATAGGTATATATATTATTCCACCTGATGGGGCCCTCTTTATTTCCTTCTTTTTTTTTTCTTCTTCTTCTATTTTTTTTGCTTTCCCCTTTTTTTCTCTTTTTTTGTTTTATTTTTTTTTCCTTGTTGGTCTCTTCTTTTTTATTTATTCTTTTATTTTTTTTTTCCTTTTTCCATTTTTTTTTTTTTTTTTCTATATATGTGACTGCTCCGTTAATATTATAATTTCACAGTCGACTTCAAAAATTGCTTCTACTCTCAGAACACTTGACACCTCCTGACATAAAAATGTGCGCATAATTTATTCCATTTTGGAAAGCATATAAAAAGATTCTTAATTATGTTAAGGAACTTTAGAATGAACTCGTTCCTGTGTAATAGGAAGAATATTCCACTAATAACACCCCATTTAAATTAAACAACGCGGATACATTTGCAGAATAGTTTCTATCATTCTTAGTACTACTTCTGTTAAATAATTCCACAAGTTATTTATTACATGAATATGGTAACTGTGTCGTGGTATTCTATGCTCGCACGGGGTTCCTTAAGGTATTATCTTAATATTTACATTGATTTATTCTAACCCACCTGACATGGGATTAAACAATGTGTCCTATTCTTAGGCAATAACATCATCATATTTTAAACTTCTCTTCTCTCTTTGCCTATATTTTATCATTTCTTAAGTGTTCAAATTACGCTTCTGAAGTTCCAACATTAATAACCATACTTCTACGACTTTATCACGGTAGACATTATGTATCAATGGCTTATGTGCCATGTAAATCATTTCTCAATATGCACACGTTTCTTAGACATTTTTCCTATTCCATGTATTCTCACTAGGCGACGCCTGTTAAATTAATGTGTACGTGGTGACTCCTCATTCAGATTTCTTTTCTTTATTCTCAAGAAATTCCCAGATAACAATTCTAACTCCTTCCAAGACGGTCTACTGTCGCTAGCGAATTCTCTCTCTAAATGCATATTCGCTTCTACTTAGCAGTTTGGACTGTTATATTATACAGAACTACATATATTAGGTCATTCTATATTGTCCTAGGGATCTCACGCGTAAAAGTACATAAAGAACTACAGTTATAGATACATTACTTCTGTCTACTAAATGGCATGTAAACACGAACAGAATTGGAAGTTCCTTCTTAATTGTGAAAGGTTCACTATTAGACAACAATTTCAAGGGAAGAAATTATAAAAATGTAATTAACTCAGGACGGAAGCCACATATACATAGAACATTATCAGTCCTTACAAATAGAAATTCATAGAAATGTACCTAATTTATGGATAAATTACCAAGGTGAGTAGCTCCCATATTTCGCATAGATATTGTTCCGTCTACGCTATATTTTCATAGACGCAATACGGACGTAACAGAGGCTATATTATAGAAAAATCCGAGACGCTATTCTTCTGTTTTCTGTTTCTTATCTGCGGTCGCAGGCCCATAAGATTATTATATTTCGATTTGTCCAAGCCACTTCGTTCGATTATAGCATCAAAGGAGAGCATAGGCTCCTCCTCACTCCCTCCTCACATTACAAACCTGTGCGATATTTGCGGCCATTTACATATATAGGTGCACAATGATTAGTCTTACCACTTCCTTTCGTAATTTCTTTCAGTTGAGAAATCACATTCTTAGGTGGCTTCTTCCTCTGGAATAATTTCTGCTTCGAATTCTTTCTTCGCTAAGGCTTCTAAAGATTCCCTGAATTCAGCAGCCTCCTTCCTGCAATGCTCCAAGAAATTAACAAATTCCTGTTTGGTCATTCCATCCTTGATGATGAAGACGTTGAAAAGTTTACTGTATTCTTGCTCCCTCTCTGCTACTACATGAAAACATCTGGACATAACTCCACTCCAAAGACTGAAAAGAGGTTCTTCTTCTACATGATGTTTTCCCTTTAACTCTTCGTAATATTCGAATAAACCATTCATCATTTCGTAAAATTCTTGTCCTTCCAGGGCATAGGCGCGCTTCCACATTTTGATAATTTCATCCTTCGATGGCACTTCTTCCATATTATTTATCAACTCGTCTAGTTGCTCTTTTGTCAGATCGGTAACAAATTTTACTCCGGCTTCGTCGAATCTGGGCGAGTCAATATTACATAAGTCATTTTTTTCTTCATATTTTTCTTCAACATTTTCATCTGCCTCCAAACCGTCTTTTTCTTCATTTTCACCTAAATCCATTTTATCAGACCCGGATAACACATGATCAGATTCAAAATCAGAGGAACTTAGATTTTTATTTGAGTCTCCTTCTCTTAAACATCCATCTTCATTTAATTCGGCTAAGTTTCTTCCTTGTATTTGGGCCATTATCCTGCTTCTCATAGGGGTTATCTCCTGCGAGGAATTCATTAAGGAGGTTCGGAATGACAGGTGGCGTACACATTAGGCATATTTATCATACTTATAGTTCAGATATATAGACTATTTCTTGCATCTAAACTCCCGGAAGAAGCGTATAGTGGAGTCCATGTAATGACAGAATCAGAAATTTCGACAGGGTTCGTATTATTTATTCGTGAAATGTTCACTCCATATAGCTTACTAGTAGTAACATATAAATAGCGACAACGAAAAGTGCAACTGAGCAGGAGGGAAAAAGGAATCTTCGGAAGTTAAGGCCATGTGAGCCTGCCTTTGGCGGCAGTGTTGCGGGGGAACATTTTCCATTCCTTATCTTATTCTTAGTTGAGCATCGGTCAGCCCACGCAGACTTGGATTTCTTGAGAGAATCCATAGTGGCTTAATTTAATCTTTGTGGTGTATATAAGTATACTTGAAAGGGGTTATTACGTGCGGGATGATTGTTCTAAATTTATAACACAGAGTAGGTGGGTTATGTTATCATAAACACGTCAAGATGCAATAAAATAGATTGAAATATTCTAATTTATGATGAAATATGATAAAATATGCTGAAATATGTTTAAATATGCTACAATACGTTCAGGATATACTAAAATATGTTAATCTATGGTATAATATGTAGTAAAAAATACTGTATTTCATAAAAAGTTTGAAGACTTCAAAAATTTTAAGAGAAGCAAAAGCACTTATATAAATAAATTCAGATAATCTAGAACATATTTTCAGCTTAAAAGAAAAAAAAAAAAAAAGGACACCATGGAGACTGTTTATAAAATTTATTTCTTCGCTCACAATGCACGCTGTTAGAAATATTCATCAAACACAACGGCGTGTATTTCTCGTTCTTAAGCGGGATGGCTAGCTCAGCAAATATATGAATGCCTCTCTTGCTTACAATATATTCTTACAGCCATTCTCGTCTTTTAAATTTGGCAAAATAAGCCATATAAAGGATTCAGCATATACTTCTCTGTATATCTAACGCTAATGACTTCTGAAGAGTAACCTCCTTGACAAAGGCCGAGTATACATTATATTACCACCTGTCTTTTTGCTCAGCCTTACCTTTTGTACCTATACAAATGCAACTATTATTTCTCCATTTTATTTAAGATAAAATTCTACTTTTCTTTATTATGCATGGTAAAACACCAACAAGGATAAGGTTTCTTCTTATTTTACCTTTCTTTTTGCCACTGAGGCATAGTGAACACGATGCAAACGACTCTAATTTAAATCTTGAAGATTTAAAAGAACGTATTAAATATATGTACTATTCATAGGTGCTATTGCAGAACAGAACGAGCGATCGCTCTGATCAAATTCTACTATCATGCGGAGTCCACATTTTCTTTTTTCTTTTTTTGTTCATAATGTAAACGGTCTTATAGTTCTATCTCAGCGAAGAAATGCTGACGCCATAAAGGTGTCTTTCTCTTTTTTTTTTTTTCTGAATAGAATAATCCAAATTGTAGGGCCCCCTGCTTCATCGTTCGTTTGGTTGCCGTTAGCAATTCCTTCTGGACTTGTTTCCATGTAAAAGTCTACCATTGCGCCCATTTATAATAAATTATATATGAATAATGAAACCATAAATGGAATTTTTACGAGTTGAAAACATATTATATAAACATTATGTTAAATCTAACTAGAAAGGAGGAAGCGTAGTATCATTATTTACATCTGATGTCACTGTAATTTGGCTAATTTATATGTGTACAATGATTTCAGGTGTTGTATTCGTTCTACTTTTACCTTAGAATTCAGGGAATTCTCAGTGCTATTATACAGCCTCAAAACATTACTTCCATCCTAATCACCTATCTTATAAGCGCAATAAAACATATCACCATGTAAAGAAATTAATTTTTCTAATCCTTACCACAATTAAGGGGTAAAATACAAAATCACCTGTCAGAAAGTTCAAAAGAGATAATCGTAGAATTTTATTCGTAGCAGGCTATGTATATCATGTACGTATAAATGCTTCAGAAGAAAGAAAAAAACATTAACAGAGTTCAGATCATCTGATTATAAGTCTCATATCAGGATTTAAAGAAACGGAAATTGACAAACTTTACACATGAATTTAATTCCCTGTTGTGTTCGAAGTGCGTGCAGGTCATATATTTCTTTCTCAATAGGAGAATACTTTCTCATGGTACAAAGTACAGTCACCATGGCTACGGGGCCTCTATCAATTTTGACACGCTGCTGTATAATGAACTTTGCCCGTGTTTTCAATAAAGCTGGAGCTAATCAAATATATGCATATATAAGCAGATACATACAAGAATAATTCCGCTTTTTCGTGTTAACAGCCTATATATGTATATATATGCGTACATGCTGTTTAGCCTGTTTCTCGCAACCCTCATCCGTCTGATTCCACGATCAAGTGGCCTGACTTCAATACACATTTATTTAACTCACGTCCCTCCTTA